CAGATTTCTTTTTACATTTTATTTCATCATGTACAATTTTCAATGTCAGAAATATTTTAAATATTCTGCTATTGAAGAAAATATACTTTTAAAATATTTCCTCAACAAAAGCATGGGCAGTTTTTCTCATTTTCTTTTTTTTGTTTTTTTTTTTTTTTTTGATGTGTTCTTCAAAAAACTGAAAAATAAGTTAAAAAGCAATCCTAACTTTGAAGTCTCAGAATTCTAGTGAAAGGTTAGAACAAAAAAAAAATCCAACATCCTCGCTCATTACTGATGGAAAAATTAAAGAGCAGCTTTGATGAATTGTGTCAGCTAATCAAACTAAAGTAGAAAACAACAACACCAATATAATGGAATAATAATAATAAAATAGTAAAAACACATTCTGACCAGAGGCATCTGTGCAGTATATCAAGCACACTAAGACAAAAAACATCAATTATTCAAGTATCAGTTTTATATTTTGCAAAATAAAAATACATCTTGAATATTTGAGTCTTCTTATTAAAAGTCTAATAAATATTCAGAAATAACAGGGGTTTTACTCAGTCGTTTGTTTTCCTATTAGTAAAAATTGTGAGCAATACTTCTCACTGTCGGTCAATTATTGTATAAACTGGTTGCTCCGTTCTAAGACCTGTATCGTAGTGCAGTCCAGTGGGTGTTAATGGAGGTGGTAACAGTACATCAACTAATGACTCAGTTAAAACTAATGTTGTTGTTTTTTTACTTTTCAATGTGTGGGAGAGGGATGAGCGATACCAGGAATAATTAAAACAGACTAAAAGTGTAGTTTTATTTCCTGAATAAAGTTTTCTCGGGGTTTTTGAATATAATATTCCAATGAGTTTAGTTATAATAATGGATAAAGGTGCAGTCTATGCCTTGTAAATGAGTGAATAAATATCTCCTGAATTAACCAGCATTAGGTTTGGCAGGCACACTGTCACAACCTCCATAGCTGCAACAGTGAAAACAACTTTCACTGACACATTCACACAAATAAATGTGTACTCTCACCCACAAACACACACACTCACTCACTCTGGCCCAAGGTGGATTTCTAGAGGTGCATATATTTGCATATATCTGCATTTTTAATGAGTTTTGGGAGATGAACTGATGCGAGTGGCCCTTTGTGGGTATTTCTTTCTTTTCTCTCGCTCTCTCTCATTGTGTGCGTGTATGTGTGTGCGTGCGTCTGTGTGTGCGTCTCCATGTAAATATCACCCACTGTGTGTTGGCACCCGTCACAGATGGTCGGGGGCGAGGGCACCCTGTGGGCACAGGATACCTATTTCTGTTTGTCTGCCTGCTTTGTGTGTGAGGCTGGGAGGCAGCGAGAGTGTGACATTGTTGGTGCACGTGAGTGTGCGTATGTGTGTTGTAGGTGTTTCTACGTATATGTCATTTACATCTTGAGCTTTGACGTTACATCCTTATGTTTGCGTTAATCTCCATCCTTGTTGGGGAAATGCTCCGTGTTCAGTCCTAATCCATATTAATCTATGACTTACCTGAAATTGGCTGCAGCTTTCTGCAGGTCATGTGTGTGCATGCGCGCACGTGTGTGTGTGTGTGAGCGTGTGCTCCCTTGTTTGTATTTAAGCTTGCTGCACACCGTGCGTGCCTGCTTACGTGTGTCTCCCAGCATGCAGTGGGGCTGTGATGGCCCTGTTTTTGGATGATTGATGTGTTGGAGGGAGCAGCAAGGAGCTCAGGTTGGGCCACAGCCTGAGTCTGACACACTGCTGCTTCCCTGCTGCTTTACATATGTAGACACAGCAAGACTCCTCCTCCCCTCCCATCTGACGCTTCCTTCTTCCCTAACACATCAGCCAACATTCACTCTTCCTTTATGGTTTTTATTTTTTAACTTCAGTGTCATCCACAAACCTAGATGGAGCATTATGTTATAGCAGTGATCGTCTGAGTTGCTGTGAGTTATAGTTATAAAACTTCCTCATTTACACTTTGGCATAATTAGGGTTGACTTTTTGTCTTGTCTCCAAGTCATGATAAATGGTAATTGTTTTAGAAACCTGAGCTGCAGCTGTTTTTCACCTCAGACATTCACAGCAGGAAATGTGCAGGTGTAAATATATGTAGTTTTGACAGTTTTCATTTAACAGTTTTAGGTTTATACATCATTGTGCATTTTCAGGTCTCACTCTTGTCAGGGCATATTGATGAAAGCTGGTGAAAAGGAGCAAAGAGGATTTAAGGCAGTCGAAGCAAGGCAGGTAGAGGAGGAACGATGCAGAAGGATAAACCACTAGGAGCAATGGACAGTGGCCCCAGAGGGTGTAGGTAAAGAGCTGTGGGTGGAGATGAATAACGGGTTTGGGAAAGTGACAGGGAAGGTCTATAAGAGAGTGGTGAGACCTGTGAAGTTAGATGACACTGACTGTCTAAATGACAGAAGACAGGGCTGAAGGTGGGAGAGATGAAGATGCTGTGATTCTCATTAAGAATGAACAGGTCAGACCTTATAAGAAAGAAGAAGAACTTATACGATTAGAGAGATAAAGATAAAGAGACGGGGCTGGCTTGGCCATGTGCTGAGAAATGTTGTGTTTGGAAAGTAAAAGATAGGAGGAAAAGAGGAGGGGCGTTGGTCTGTGGAAGAGAGTGATATAGATTTTTAAAAAAGGATGAAAATACAGAAAACTGTCTGAGAATGTAACTGAATCTCTTTTCCACAGTAAGGGTTGCTGTATACACAGTTTGAATGCTCTGGATGTTGTTGTTAGTTGTAAATATAAAGTAGGTGAAACAGTTTGCTGCAGGAATAACCAGCCAACATGGCATTCAAACGAAATGAATCATCGTATTAAAAAAACCCAATGGGTAACAGACATGTCTGTGTTAGAATGTGTGCACAGCAAGACTAAGACTTTACAGCTACATCTCATTCATAGTATAATTCTACTGAACATCTTAGGAGAGCGAGGAAGTGACTTTTATATGATACACTGAGGTAACTTCTCTGTGCTACATGTTTGTCAGAAACTGGATTCCTTCACTCACGTCCTTCACATAACAAACAGGATGAGACTCAGACAGCCGCCTCCTAATGCAGTCTGATGTAGTTGTTAACATTTACAGTGCCTCCTGCTCCACACTGTTCTCCTCTTTTTATCCCACTGCATCTATCACACTTTGACTCCTTCTGTCAGTTTCTTCTCTGACCTGCCGCTGTACTACCATCTCTCTGTGAACTCGTTTTCTTCTTCCTGTGCTCACCATCCATGGCTGGTTCCCACTTCCCTCTCCCTGACACTCACTTGTTTCTTTATCCTTCCATCTCTCCCATATCACTAATCCTCCCACTTCTCCCTTTTTGTTCCTCTGTAGTTTCGCTTGCTTTGAAATCCCTTCGCTCTCCCCTCTGTTTCTCTGCCTTTGCTAATCCTTTCATTTTCTTTGTCTCTCTTTTGTCTTAAAGTCAGTGTAACTTCTTCTTTCTCCATGTGCTTTTATTTTTCACAGTTATTCCACTGAAGTCACACATTATTTCAGACATATCCATGTTGTAACAGTTAGCATCCTCCAGCCAGTGCATCAGATCATTTCCAGTATGGAACAGTGCTAAGGCTATGTCAAAATGACCAGATCGATTTTTTTTTTTTATTCTGAGTCATGGCAGCACACATTAGTTCATTAATTTAATGTAATTTTCTAAATATTTTTTAAATTAATTTCATCTCAAATTGAGATGAAAACTCATTTCATTTTCTTCCTTCTTAAAACCTTGACTCATGAATTTTCCCGGTGCTGTTGTCTCTCCTATGGAAGAGTCATGTCAGCTCAGTAGAAAGGCATGCTGGGAGGCTGGAGAGCATGAGAGGTTTATCGATCTACCTGTAGCATCCAACTGTTTGTTTATCAACAACCAATCAATGCACTTCTTGGCTGGAGGCTGCCGTGCTTGGCCTCTGCACTGCTCAGAGCACTCACACATACACCTTTACACACAAACGTATGGTTTTCAGATGCTCTTCTCTTCTTTTATTTCACTTTGTGCACTTGGTGATTTGAATCAATTCCTTTTTAATATTTCTCAGTATGTTGTAATGGCTTCAAGATAGATTTCTGTATTATATATTTTGGTGCATCAGTCATCAAGCGCAAAGAAAAAACATCTACGTTGAGACTAGATAACTGGGAAGCATGTGTTGGTTGTTAAGTGGATACACTCAGAGAAATTGCACTGACTGTAAAAATCAGATGTGGACATAAAAAGAGTCTTAAGAACTGAGCCGGAGATAAGTCCAGGTTCATGTGCCGTGATGAGTCACTGACAGCTGTTTTTCCAGACTGAGCCGATGTACAGTCATTAGATCGTGACTCGTACCTGACTCACAGTGATGTCAAAAAGGTTAGGTTTTCAAGTTGCCCTGAACAAGTAAGTCAATCAGACGGTTTACTAAATGTTATCACGCAATAATTACTTTTTATTCCCAGGAAATTTTAATATGGAAGACTATGGGTGGAGCCCCTGAGAATAAGACACACCATTCTGTCCATTGTCTTGCACTTATTGTCTTGAGCCTTACCATCAAAGGGAAACAAACAACCATTCACTCTCACATTCGTAGTTCCTAGTGCCCTAATGAGCATATTTTGGGGCTGCAGACACCTTTAAAAATGGCAGCATAAAGGAAAAAGCATCAATATTTTTTTTTTATATGGCCTTGTATTGTATTTTGTTTATGTTTCTATTTTTGTAGTTCTGTACAGAAAGCATAAACATACTGTCCAGCCTCGCCAACTTTTGGACTGTTTTTATACAAACGTTTAAAGAATTTATAGGCAACCTCTGAGGTATTTATAAAAAAATATGATTTTTTTTTATAATTGTATTTTATTTTATTTTATTTTTTGCCCCCTTCTTTGACATATTTTACTTCTTTCGGCCAACTCTTAATACCAGACTAGACAAGACTAGATCTAATAGGCCGCAGTATTGTAACTCACAGAGTGAGGGGCAAGATCTAACTCCGTGTCATTCATCTATAAACACTTTTTACACAGCATCGACTATGATGATATAGTTATGGAGCATCTCTTTTGTGGTGTATATAACAAAATATGGTGAAATAGGTTCACATCAGTGTTGGAAGCAGAGACGCCCTGACCTGAAACGTGTAAATCTTTACTTAATAGAAAAAAAAATAGGATGTTGTGCAAAATATCTGGACTGAATTTCTTTAAATAATAAATATAATAATAAATAAACAAATAATTTCAACAGGGCTGTGTAGCTGTTCTGTATCCACCACAGTACAATCAGTGAAATGTTTTTTATGTGTGCAGTATTTATAACTTTTTCCACATGAATCACTTCATAATGCCCTCATTATTGTGTTTATTTCTAGGTGACTGACCACAAAGGCACGGTGAGGAGCTGTACGAGACCCACTGAAGAGGAGGAGGCCGTCGGAGCTTTGCTCGGTGTTACACTCATTCTCTATGGAACCTACCGCCCACACAGGACCAAGCATGGTGAGTGTCAACTATTTATGAAACTTTGAACTCACAAAACACAACTGAGCAGAGAGGCAAGGGTTTTGAAAGCTTTAATACAACATCCACGGAAAGTTAGGTGAACTAATGTACAAGTTCACGAAAATGAGAAAATATCAAAAAAGAAAGATTTAATATGTAGTTATGAAAATGATGGTGTTGTGTTACGATCAATCCCAAGTTGTTCTACGGAAGCTGGAAATGGGAAGCGAAAACTTCCTCACCCTTCCCCTCCCGCAGCCACCTGCCATCACTGCATCTTTAGCTGAGGCTGTGGAGTCAGGAGAAGTCAGGGAGACCACTGACCACAGGGACTGAGATGTCTAATTACAGTCTGACCCCTGGCTGCCCCTCCTCAATCCCACCCTTCTGGCTCCATACTGTGGATCAGCTCCTTTGGTGCCCACAACTTCTGCAACACACACACACAGACACATACATCTTGTTAGCCAAACCGGCATGTTGCCACAGAACCAACCTCCTTATCTTTCAACCAACTTCCCTGCTGCTCTAACGCAGTTAACATCCTCTCTACAGTTCTTTACATCCAACATTCCTGCAATAAAACATAATTAATAAAATGTTACAATATGCAGCAATAAACATCTTCAGTTAACTCATAAAAATCAATTCACCAGTATTTTAGAAATGTATATTTAATTTTTTTTCCCATTTACTAATATTCAGTACAAATATAAAGGAAACTACTCTGTGTATAAAGAAAGAATACAGGAGTAGTGGGCTGCACTTTTAGTGCTGGTAAAATGCACCACAATCCCAGAAACTCCTGATTACACGCCCCGTCTGATAAATCCCAGAAGGTCAGTTCTTTTGTAACCTCGCCCTCGCCCTCCCACAGCTATTGTTTCTATTGTTTTCTATTTTGGCCTGTTTTTCTACTAGTTCATTTCTACCCTATCAGAAGCCAGTACAGCCGTTTAATTCAGTTAGTTACAATTTTTTACTTCCATGTAGACCTGGAGTTTGGGCAAACTATTAAAATCACCCTTTTCAGAACCTGAAAAGACATGGGAAAGTTGTGGAATTTCACCTCAGGGCAATAGTGGGAACATTTTTTCTTGTGTGTCTCTAAGTGTTTTTTTTTTCTATTACTCTCTCCCTTCTCTCTCCTCTCTCTGTCAAGATGCTGATCTCTCTGTTGAGAAATCAATGATCCCCTCCTCCCATCTCTCCCCCCTTTCCCTTCTCTCTGCATCCCTGNTGTTAGTCAGTCTGTTGTCTTCACACACACATACACATACTTTACACAAGAGACACACTCATTCACAGGTTCGGTGCCCTGTCACAATCCTGACATGTTCATTATTAGCAGACATATTTTAGGTAATCCTTCCAAATTTGAAAACATCAAATCCCACCATAGGGGAGAACATGGCTAAGTTGGGGGTCCTAATCCATGCAAATTGTGGGAACTGCATTAAAAACACTGGAAAAAACTAGTGGCTAATAATGTATAGAAGATAGATAAAGTTTTTAAGATTTAAATAATATATATCTCTTCAGCCAAAGTTTGTTTCTTTAAGTTTTTCAGTTAAATATATCATATTGGAACGCAATGTTTGATCGTAATATTTGATCATAATTTGATGTGGAAACTCCATCCATCTTCATGTCTGACCGTCAAAAAAATGCAGCTGAAGGTAACTGTGACTGAACATGTGCTCTGTCAGTGAGATTTAACTGGTAGTGTGTGGGAGAATTTTCATTCAGCAACTTGAAAAGTCCAGAGACTGGGTTTTATCAGAGGACCTCCACTTTTTACTGTGGAGATTTTAATGATTTCTGTCCCTTTCCAGATCTACTTTTTAATTATTATAGACTTTCACACATCCCAATGGGAGGACAAATTACCTAGCAAATAACACATAGTGATTTTCTGTGACCCACTGTGTCCTTTGTTAAATCCCACGTTTCTCCATAAATCATTGGAGGAACCAAGAAATACAATTGCCAGTTTATAAGGTACATTTAGCAGCGGGTTAATTCAGTCTAATACAACAGCCAGCTATAAATCCCACCCCTGTGCACTGCAACCAGCAGCCTCCAAAATGACCATAAAGTTAAATCAACACAACAGCAACAAAACATTACAACCTTCATTAAAACTGGATTTATTGCAGGCATGTTGAAGTAGGTTTCATTTGAAGGGACGACGAAAAAAAAAAAAGTGGCGACTGAGTTTATCCAGTGTCCTCGCAGAGACTTAATAAAAATGAGGTGCAAGCTAAGATTACCCATGCTGGTCATTAATTTGAACAAATAAAGCAAAAAAAAAAAGATAATTTGACCTGAATTATATTCAAGTTATTGCAAAAAATAAATAAAATTAGAAATAGTAATAATAATTTTTAAAAATCCTATTTATTTTAAGTTATCTGAAGTTAGCTTAAAGTCAAGCAGAAAGATCTCGTTTTATAATGTCCTCTCTCTGGTAGAATCAACTCTTATCACATCCCAAACACTTTACACAGCAGTAGATAGAAATTAGCTAAATACATGAATAATAAAAGCTATTTAGCTAAACATTTTCTAGAAATTACTAAAGGCTGATGAAGAAACCAGTCGATCTCAACCAAGAATTCCTTAAGTCAGCACAAAAAACAAACCTAATCCAAATGAATTGTTTGAATTGAAAAAAAAAGTGGGATTTAAGCGTGCACTTCTTCCATCACACCACCATCCTATGTATCTTCTTTTCCTTGAAGACACCTGATGCTGACACTCACTGATGTGTGGGACAAAGCTCCAGCAGCTCCAGCCTGGTTTTCTATTGTGATGCTGCCTCGTGTGTGTGTGTGTGTGTGTGTGCATTTGTGTCGGTTTTCTCCTCCCTCTCTGTGTGTCCACGCTGTCCATGTGTGTTTGTTTGGTGGCGAGTGAAGGTAAATTGCAGTGATTATGTGGCTGTAATTGAACAGGGATGGAGTGTTTAATTGAGTTGTTGTGTCCTGATGTTTTCTCCTGTAGTAGCAGGAGCTGCAGCGTTGACAGCTGCCTCGTCTCGCCTCCTGGAGATGAAGAGTTTTTTCTTCATATACCTTCACATGGTCTTTGTTGTGTGTGTGTGGCCCCCTTCCCACCTTTCTGTGTGTTTTGGCCTAATTGTGTTTGTTTGTGTAGTTTTCTCCAGTGTTTCAGCAGGTAAAGGGAAGCGTAGGGTTTTCTAAGAGGCTGCTCTGAACCCTTACAAGTTTTACACATACTGTTTGCAAGGATGTATATGTATGTACTGTGTATTGTTATTTGTCTATTTCAGAACCAGGATCAGAAAACCTCTAATGATCCCTACAGGGAAACTACTTTGTTACAGTTGTGCAAATTAAAATGTGGGTACATCTGTGTGGTGTTTAGATGTACAGTATGGTTATAAAGTGGAGGAAGTCATGTGCAAAGGGTTCCTGTATGTAAACAACAGACAAGACGGTTTATGAAAAACATGTCTCTCTCTCTCTCTCTCTCTCTCTCTTTACCTTTATGCTTCAGTAAAATGTTATTTAGGGGATTTTATAAATATATAAAAGGGATTTAACTTGTCAAATTGTGGTTGTGCTTTAGCTTCATCCAAGGCAGTTTATTTATTATTATATCTGCTTTTTAATCATTTTTGTTATGTATTTTTCTAACTTTCTATGAACTGTTTCATTTCATTTAGGGTCAACTTTTAGCTATTTCAGAACATGACATCTTAAACATTCTGGGCGTGCTCACATGTTTTTACTTTTTTAATCAGATTAATCATAGAGTAGCTGTTAAATAAATACATAAATCAATAATAATAATTGTGAATGTAATCAATCATGATTAATCATGTTAAATCACCATGTCTGTACATGACATATAAAAAAGCTTTATATAAACTGCCAGGACAGAAAGACTATTAACTGCTGGTCGATGTATGTGTTTCACACCTGATTTTATTTGTGACTAAATCATGGACTTATTTAAATGGAAACATGTCAAGAGCAGTATATAACATTTTGCTTCATAGAATTGTGGATTTTAATCTTTACTGGCTAGAACACATTGAATGTTTTGAAAACAGTGAAGCTGTTGTCCTGTAGACCAACATTAATTTGTCTACTGTCCCTGGCAAACTATTTCCCAATCGTTAGGGCGAAAATAAGTGGATAGATGTCGGGGTTATTGGATATAGAATGTGCACCATTCTGCTTATGTGTTAAAATGCTCTAAAATTAATTATTCTTCCTATATTTAACAACAGAATTAACTCCTTAATTTCTTCAGCCATAGTTTTTACCTAGTTAGCTTTAAAGTTACCTTGATATGACAACGCATGGCTTGTATTTGGACGATTGTCGGTTTGAGTCCCAGCCTTGCCAGGACTGTAGTGATGAAGCAGCAAACTCACCCCCTCCTCAAACACTAAATATAGTCCAGTGTTTATCACTAGGAGAGGTTTCATGGGTTAAATGTTAAGAATAGTTTCCCTCAGGGGACAAAGAGAATACTAAAAGAAATGCTGTCGGCTGTTTAGTAAGTTATTATTTTTTCTAATATTTGGCTTTCTTTTAATTCTTACTTGGCTAACATGTGCTTATCTCCGTTTGCAGCTTCTTCTTTGCCAACGTTTATGTAAATCACAACAACTATGGGGCCACAGTGATGAGTGGTGTGTGATACATGAGCCGACCTGCACACTTTCTCATTTGTGTTTTGCGATATTCTCTTTGACAGTAGCATTTAAAACATTCAGTTTCAGAGTTCCAATGGTGAATTGAGATATTTCAAGCAATTTGCTACAAACCCCTTAAAATGTCTGACTCTGGTGTTTGCTGTACAGCACGTTCGTGTTTACTTCACACTATGCATGTGTGGATGTTGTTTTGCAGATGTGTGTACAATGTGCACCACACAGTGTGAGGAGGAAACGGCGTATATTTTGTGTGTTTGTCTCGTTTGTGAGGGTCTGTCTGCAAACAGACTGTGCACACATGCGTGTGTGTGTGTGTGTGTGTGTGTGTGTAGGACACACTATCTGATCTGCCTCCTGGGCTCTATGGCCCAAATCAAATGGTAGGAAACATCAATTTCACCGTCCCCTCTCTCACTTTCCTTCTCCCCCTCTTGTATAATTTCTCCTCTCTCTCCTCTCCCTCTCCTTCCCTACAGCTCCTCTCCTCATCCTCTCCTCCCCTCTAGCCCTTTTCCTCCTCCTTCTCCTCCTCTGCGCCCATCCTCAGTGTATTGCTCTCTGTGGAGGTGTGATTACGTTCCTCCTCTCAGCACCACTGATCTGAGGGTTCAGTGTGTGTGTATGTGGGTATTGTTGTGTGTATTTTTGTGTATCTGTGTGTGTTTGGTGACTAGTTGGTGATCTGAGCAGCCTGGCGCTGGGCATTGTATGGCGCAATTCACGGACGATGTCTCCAGTTGAATGCCTCCATTCACAATTACAGCCTCTCCATTAGCTGCAGCCCTCGCTGCCTTGTTGTTGTCTTTTCTTCCTTTTCTCTGCAAAAAAAAAATGCAATTAAAGATGGACAAAAACAAGCTGGAGCACAAACACTGTACCTGGAAATGGAGGAGAAAAAAAAAGAACAGCTCAGGAACAAGTGGAAGAGGAAGTGTAGTTCTCCTATTCTTCAGCATGGGTTTAGACAGCACTCTAAATTTCTGCATTACATTACATTAATACAGGACAACTGTCATAAAATATTACACAGTTTAACTATTTGTGCTGTAACTGTCTTTATAGAAAATAACATTCCTTTGTTAAGAATTCCTTTGTTAAAAAGTCTGCAGAATATCACATGGACAACTGAGAATCAAATATTATTTTGTTATACAGATAATATCTTAAAATTATTTTCCATTTTAAGCTGTTCTTTAATAAAAGGAAAATAGGCTTATAAAAGGTTTTGTCTAACTTTAGCTAACATATTGTAGTTTAAATGTATAAATGTGTGCAACTTATTTTTTTTACTTTAAAGTTTTAATTTTTGTTAGTTCACTAATTTTAAGTATTTGTAATAATTTTAGCAAGTAATTGATTTTGATTGGTTGTAGCAATTGCAATAATTTCTTAAAGCTAAACGTGAATTTTGGCTCTGCAATATATATATATATATATGTATATATATACATATATATATATATATACCAGGGCTACATTTAGTTTGTTTGTGAATGCGACTCTTAACTTTCCTTTGTGTTATTTGACCTTGCATTAAAACTGAATTGATTTGAAGACATCTGTCCCCAAAATAAGTACCTTGGATTATCAGTAATTCCATTACAACCTAAACATAAGCATATGGTTTGCACTAAACAGATTTGTTTAAATCAAAGGCATTTATACAACCTAATTATAGTCATATCACAGAAGGAACAGTTGGTCCTCAAGCATTTTTACATTATAGAGTCAGAAAACTAAAAAAAAAAAAAGAATTGAATGCATCAGTGTGGCTAGGCTAATAAACCCAGAACATACTGTATACATGATCTATACCATTTCTTTTCTAATACATCAGACAAACCACTGAAGACCTTTGTGTCCATGGGGTCACATCACCTCATCCCTGCCGAGGTGCTGCTCCAGAGACACCACTACCCTTGCCTGAATCTGATTCAGTGGATCTACCAAATGGAGAGAGACAGGAGGGTGCGGGCTGCTGATATCACTGTAACCAGACGGCAGGTACACTACAGTACAGTACAGTACACAGACACGCACACATCCCACAGTTTGTGATTTACTATTCCAATAAATCACTGGCACCACCTAATTTCCTATGGATTTCAATTTCCCTCTGGACATATCTGCATTGATCACCTTCAGGTGTAGGGATGTGCCAGGCGTCGCTCACTGTGACACTGAAGAATGGCTCACAAATCTCTGCCATTGGTGTGCGGTTGAGTGTGTGTCTGTTTGTCTCTGAAGGTGCGTGCCGGGGTAAAAGAAGGAGGGATTTGTGCAGATGCAGCATTTCTGTTGAACGCTGTCGTCAGCGTCAGGGCTTTAGGATGCAAATCCTCCATTCTGAGTAATAACATCTGAAAATGTCAGAATTGTACAGACAGAGATAAGGATCAGATGGTAGGAGCAAGACTTGAGATTGGTTGTTCTGATTTTATCTGATCGTACAGTTATTTACAGAGAAAGAAAAGAAAAAGCATAATTAAATATGTCTATAATCCATAAAATGGATATACATTTTAAACAATGCAGTAAAAATAAAAGAAACATTTAGGTTTTGAACGTAAACCTTTTTTTACGTTTAATTATACACAATGTCATACAAGGTTAGCACTAAAGTCTTTTGTTACTAACTTTCTATTTTTTAAGATATATATAATATGTTAGTGGCAACCTGTTATATTAAATACTGAATTCACGCAAGCAGAACTGATTCCAGGCCAGTAGGTGGCGATAATGAACCAAATGTTTGTTTGCCAAATATGATGCACAGGATGCACTGAGTGACATAAGATAAGGTCAAGATAGTTTGGTGAGCAGCACTAGAAGACAAGATGGCGGATGGTATGTTAGACACAAAGTTAATTTTTTATTTGGAAACGAACAATATTGTTTGGAAGTTGCACAACAAATAGTTCTCTTTACAACAGCATAATGTTTACCTGTATTCTGATATAAAGCTCTGCATGTGTGCAGGTCAGTGTCATGGCTACTGACGCTACTGACATAGATTTTCCAAAACACAAGAAAACGCTTATTCATTCAGTCATTTTCAGCTACATCTATATCTGGGTGTGGGTGTGAGACCTGGAGCCAATCCCAGCAGTCATTGTGCAGCGGCAGGTTACAACCCTAACAGCTCATCAGTCCATCACAGAGCTGCATATAGAGACAAACAAGTTTATCTCACATGAGCTCAGGCCCAGCTCAGAACCCAGGGGCGTTTTTTCACAAAATTGATGTATGTCTTACTTTCTGCATGATAGAGTCTCATGGAGCATTTTTGATGCATTGGCAGACTGAGTTAGACGACAATGATTTCCCAAAGTAGTTGGAGCCAATGTTGTCACGTTCATCACAATAACATACTGATCTCTGATGGGATAGAGCCTCAGGGCTTAAAGGTCAAACACATTGAGCAGCCATTTTCACACTTTCATGCCAGTGGAATTTTTTGGTGGATTGTGAGAGATGCAAACTCTTTATTATTCTGTCCGCAGACACATTGTTTTTTAAATTGAGAGAACAGTTGCTTTTTTGGCCTTTATTCCTGCCTGGTAAATAAAGATTGAGGTACATTAATGAACTACAGATTTTTGCTTCTAGTTTTCAGGAAGTGTACCGATTCTTCTGGAAGTGCGCTGAAATAAATCAGGATTATACTGCAGAAAAAAGACCAGACTGTGTCTCCTTTTCAATATGACTACATCAAATCCCAGCTTAGTTTTTGTAGTGAAACAATTTAATTCCCACAATCACTAAAGCCTTGTGACTGTGTCCTCTATGCTGCATTACCATGTCATTAACGGCTCTGACAAAGGTGAGCCTTATGCCTGATGACAGGTATGGCTGTGTTGATGCACACACCACTGTCTGACATGCCCTTGCAGGGGTGTACACGGTCCCCGGGCCTGCGTTTTGAGCCGGTGTTAGGATGCAGCAACGAGGCCTGACAACGTCTTTACCCAGAGTTCCTCCCCTAGAGGCAGATCTGAATGGATCGTAGAGGCTAGGAGTAGAAATAAATTGGAGAAAAGGATAAATCGATGCTTGGCGGAGAGGCAAACAGACCTTCCAACCCCCGGCCCAGACACACACACACACACACACACACACATATACGCACACACGCACGTAGCATGGTGTGTCTTTTTTCCTTGGGCTGTATTGGATTGGTATGCAGAGCTGAGGAGAGAGACGCTCAGAAAAGACTTGGCCTACAAATGATGTCCTTTGTTTGATCCATTAGGTTGGGGGGGGTTTGGTTGGTGGGTGGATGGGGAGGGTCGTCCCATGGTGACGGTAGAAGGGCTGGGAAACAAACATCTCTTTCTGTGAGCCTCTCTCTCTCTCTCTCTCTCTCCCCCCCCCCCCCCCCCCCCCCCTTACATTAGGGGAGTTTTCCCTCTCTGACTAACAGCTTCTCATCTAAGAGAGGAGAATAAGATCAGCCACAGGAAAAGCTGCTAATCATCTGTTTTCGCTGATGAGTTAGAGGCAGAAATGACATCCTGATGTGAGTGTGACTACATACACTACTGTGGCTGGAAATTAATAATGCTGTTTATTCTGTAGGTCACTTTTCTTTGGGTCAGTTAGTCATTTGATCTCATATAATTGTAATACAAATGTAATTGTAAAAACCTATAACCGAGGAAATATAGTGTCACACAATAAAAAAAGATCTATTCTTATAAAAACAGTAATTAATATATATAGGAAAACAAATACTCCACATGAAAATGTATTTATTTATTTTACCTTTCAGGGTTCAGACAGATTACATCTACTATTCAAAGGGCCCAACAACAACTCTAAGTTATGGTATAGTGGCATAAAAAAAATTAAATTAAAAAAAAAACATTAGGGGAGTAAAAGTGTGGAGTTTACATGTGTAAATTCCTCGAGAATAACAAAAACCAAGAGATGATTTCATTCAAACGTCCTCTGGTTCCACATGTAATATCGACCAATATCCTTACAGGTAATTAAATGTTTCTGAGGCTGTGTCATCACTAGTTGGTCAGAGTAAATAATAAATGAAGAGCCAGGGTATTGACTCTTCTTAGACTGGCGGTGGTCAGAGGTAACCTGCTAAAACTAAATTGCATTATTATCACATTAAAACACTGGACAACTAGGAAAATATACCAGAATACACAAAAAACAAACAAACCTTGGAGAACGCTGTCACCACATTAATACCAAACACACGGTGTGGTTCAAGATTTAAGATGTACTTTATTGTTGTTGTGCTGAGTACACACACACACACAGTAGAGAAAAAAGGTGTTTCTGCCAGGCTCAGTGCAGCAGAAAAGTAAACAACAATGACAGCAATAAAATATCCCACAAGCATAAAACACAGCAGATTCACACAAAGTGGGTTTATGAATGATAAAAGTGCTAATTTAGTCTAGCTTTATTTTTAGCCAAGCAGACGCTTTAATTCAGTCTGATATGGCTGAATATGGTTGCTGTAAAATTTGGAACAGACTTTTATGTCCCAGGATGATGAATCCTGATGACATGTTGGTGAGAGCCCCTGAATTCTCTTCTAGCACAAAAACACTTCCTGTTGTTGCTGTTATTTTTATCAGATTCAAAACTATTCCAATTATTAAACGTTTCCATGTCAGTTGATTCAAATTTCCGTTTGCCGTTAATCACAATGACTGTAGTTAACTCGAGATTGATTTCAAACTAATTGCATTTACATTTCAAATTATTTGCAATTACATTTTTATTTTTGAGTATTTTGTGAAACTCTAGTGAACATAGTATTGACAATTATGTTAGCTTCATGCTAATGTCTGATGTCTGTTTGTTATTGCAGGACTCGAAAAAGGACAGAAATTGTCCAGAAGATTTTACAAAATGACCTGAGACGTATTACGTACCTACATCTTCAGGTAAGGAGAGGGTGAGGAGGGGGAGGGTTGGGAGTGCTGTTATGAGAAATGTTGTACTATGAGTAAGAATGTTAGCGCGTTCATTGTGTTCTTTAGTTGGGCTTTAATCTAAGAAACATAGTCATATAATGGGCAACAGAAGAGCACATTATTTGTGAGATGGAGTCACATCAACAGTAAATATCAACAACACCATTAAGGCTAAATTCACCAGAGAAAAAACAACTTCAAATCCCAGTGGTTTCTGCCAGTGTTACTGTTGCTTCTCTTAATTACGAACCACCGTGCTTGAAAACTGACAGACTATTGATTCTCCACCACTGTGTACAATGGTCATTTCTTTTTCTGAAAAAACGTTTGTTTTTGTTTTCCTTCATTTATTTGGAACTATGTCCGTGTGTTTATGCTCCGTACATGTATGAAAAAGGACGTTTTTCAGTAAGATAGACGTTTTTCAATAGACGAAATTTTGTGATTCCTCAATTTACATCACAGGCCAAGAATCAAAATACAAAATGTATGTGCGTTTGTAGCGTGTCAAAATAGTGACCTAAAAACAATTACATGAACTAGTTATTATTGCAGTTCTATTAAATATGGATATTTAATCAAATGTCTAGCTCTGAAATGACAATATTTTCTTCTATTGTCCGTCGATCACAGTGGTTGTCCATGTTTGGGCTGTAATATAAAATATTGATGCTAAAAGCAGAATTTATTGTACAGGAGAAAGTTTTTTCAGTCTCACTCTTTGTGCCTGATTTCTGCTGCCTTCACTGTTCTTGCTGTATTCACTCCACCACATGAGACTGCCACTGTTCTCAGCTCTTCACCAGCAACAGTGTATGGCTGTACATTTTGGCTTGGGAGTTCTCTTTTTTTTCCTTCATGTCTTTTTATAGTTTTTCTCGTTCATAGCGTACACCCCACTGTGCTTCTATTTTCATGAATGCTGTGAGAAATAATTGAAATCGTCGTGTACGCTGCCGTCTGCTGCAGTGAGCTCCCACTTCCTCATGCCGTGTAAATACTGTATCACTGAAACCCCTGCTGTACAACTGCTGGTTTGGGATTCCTCGCAGCTCTAGGACGTCACTGTAAAACTTGAGCCAAGATCAAACCATAGCTGAAGTTTGTTTGTCCTTCTTTCCTTCTCTGAGGAAACAGTGTTGAGTCAGTTTCCTCAGAACAGCTCTCATTCATTCTAAATCCATCGACACTCTCTCTCGCGCTCACTTGCTCTCCCCCTCTCTCTATCTCTTTTTCTCCCACTCATTACATCCATAAGGAGAAGGAATTGGTGTCAACCGAGTCACAACCCCTGCTGCAAGTGGTGTGAAATGGAACAGACGGAGGACCTCAAAGAGTCTCAACACAAATGAATAATGTTCCACAACAACTATAAATAAAATAATGGCTTTTTTCAGGAGCAGATTAAAGGTCTAATTCACAGCTTTATCTCATGAATGTCAGGATATTAGTCTTGTTGTGAAACAGCTGTATATATTGTTTTCCCTGTCTGTGGCGGTTGGAGGGGAAAAGAATGTTGTGTCATCAGATTAGGGAGAGAGAGCTTGTAGCGATACAATACATTTTAAGTAGTGGTTGTCAAAGTTTGAAATTGTTATCAGTATGTTGTTAAAAAGACATTTACTGGTGAATATCTTCATATAAATTATGACACAACAGAAAATGTTCATACTTTTACTATAGTATATTACTATACTCAACTACACTCTACAATACTAGACTACAACGGACTGAACTAATAGTATCGTATACTGTGTATACACATATATGAATGTGTTATAGTATATAAAATACTTTACTATACGGTGTATCACTAAACTGTGTTATACTCTACTAAATTATATGATACTATGCTAGTGTATGTTATGGTATTGCCGTATTATGATATATTACTACTTACGACAGTCTGAGCTCCTGCATAAATTACATTTTAGTTTAAGCATTTATTTTAGGTCCAGTTTATAGTTTTTCACAACATCATGCTCTAAAATATAACATTTTTGTATACACTACAACAAGTACTTCAGAAGCCTTGACAGAAGTCTCCCTTCAACAAAGGGTTTAAAGAAATGTATACACTTTTAGATCATACAAAATAAGAGATCAAGCCTTTACCTTAGTAGATTCTCCAGGATGTTGTCATAATGGATCAGCAAAAAGTACTTCAAATCCAGGAGGTGGAGGAACTGTGAGCAGAAAGTCAGGAGAGGTGGAGGTGGGCAGAGGAGTGAGGAAACAAATATAAACCAGAGTTAAATAAAGATCATTATTTTTCACAGTCCGACAGTCCAGTTGGTCATGAATCAACCCTGCGTAGTGTAGTTTGACTGTGTGACCTGTTGTCAGTGTCAGCCGTGATGATTAATACTCGATTCCCTAACTTCTGCCAGACACAGAAACACACACACAACCATATAAATCCTTCCCCAAAAACAAATAGTCCCTGGAGCAACTCTCACCTCTCATCCGTACTCTTTGTTTTCCTGGGAAAGTTGCAAAGGTTAGTGAAAGATATGTTTGTCTTTTTCCACTTCAGTGAAGGGTGAATTAGCTCAGCGCAATAAGAAATGGATTACCCATTTATTAAAGGCGCTGTGTCACTCCTCATTGGGTTGGACAAATAACAAATGAATTTCTAGCTCCCTAATTTCTCTCTGTTCTTCAGTGAATTTCTGATAATGTTGAATTGCTGATTGCAGCCATGGGAGCTCCCTCAACTTTTTATCAATTCATTAAAAAATGTGCCACTGTAGAAAAGATACAGATGAAAGTCTCTCCCTCTTTTCTGCCTCATGCTTCCTTTACCACAATAAATCTGTTTTGCAGAAATTAATTCACTTAAAAAACGTGCAATTCCCTATTTTTGGAATCTGTCTGAAACTTTTTTCCACTGAATCTCAGTTTGACGCCGAGACTAGTGTTGCCATGCCTCCTCTGGTCAAGTGCAGGTCTGTAGGTAGTGTTGTTTTGTAAAGTAGCAATAGTTTATTGACAGGGAAGTATTGATGTTTCAATTAGAGCAGTGTTACATAGTGCTGCAGCGTGGTAACATGGTGCGTCTCCTGCCATCTGCTCTGCCTCTACGTCTGATGAACGAGGCACGTGGGGCTAATCGAGCCGCACATGAGCGATGGGACTGGGAGATCTGTCTGTCTCTCCCTCCCTCCCTCACACACACACACACACACAAACATCCTCTACGCACGTCCTTATGCAGAAAAATGGGGGGAAGGACGCGGGAGAACGCCTCAGCCCTGCTGTTTAAACAGCCTTCAGAAACCTTGTGGTTCCTCCCCTTCCTCCACAGGTCCAGCCAGCAGGTTGTTTCTCATATGAGGAAACAAGCAAAAAGCACCAGATGCATAAGCTTAAAAAAAATCTTCAAAAGCTCATCTGATAGAAAGACAACAAAAAAAAAAAACACAATGGCTTCTGCCAGGTTTTCTCGTGCTGGGTAATAAGAGCATGCATTATGCCTGGCATTGCTGCCTGCCAAACCACATGAATCAAAGACCTCATTGTGTGGATTACCTCGTTAATCTGTTGATGCCATTTAGTAGTATTGCTGGTAATAATGTGCCAGATTTCTCTCTTATTGGGGTTGTGTAGTGTTAGGGTTGGTAATCTGCTTTAAGCGCTTTCTGGGGACAGAGACATTCTGAAACCAAGCCAACAGAACTCTGCCATCATGCCGAGCAGTGGGGACTGACTCTCTAAGGCTGTGGTGCAGAGGCTAACAGGGGAGAGTGAGCTAGATGGCCCACACCACTTGTTGAAGTATGACTATTTAAATAAATAGGGAAGAAATCCAGACAACATGGTCCAACATAAAGCAAGTCAGCCTTCTGCTTGGACACTTCCACTGATCAAAATATCGTCACAAGTACTATGCAACATGGTCTGGCCTAGTTTGTTGTAGGACACAATGCACACGTTTAGCTTTGGCGTGAGAAAGCAGAAGAAGTCTATAGGATATACTTCTTCTTTTTTATGTACAATATCTACCATTCTTTTTCAGTGAGTACGTGGCAGAGTTGTTCACTTTCTGGCAAAATACACAATTCAAAACCATATGCTTTTTTATTTTAAAGAAAACACTGTCCAAGTGTGTGGTAGGTCTATGTAGGACAGTATTACTTATTTCCCCTCAAGAGTACTTGTTGACCTCGACCAAAGTGTTAAATGCAACCAGATTTCTCCTTTAATTCGGCAGAGAAAGAGCGATATCTTGCTGAAGCTGCGGCAGAGGTGAAAAAAGGGACGAGTAATGAGCTAGAAGCTCCACAACACGTGTTGAAATATGACTTTGAAAATAGAAAGAGGGGAAAGTGATACTGCTGAGTTGCCCCACATTGACATCTATCACAAAGGGTCTCCACTTGCTCTACTTCTGTTTCCTGCTGCAACACCTTTAAGTTGTGTCTCTTTGGAAGAGTTAACCAAAGCTGTGCTTTATATATTTATATATAGAGCTACCTGAGCTCTGGCACTTTAGAGGTGAACACGGAGAGAGTGAGCGATAAAGAGACAGAAAGACAGAGGAAAAGGGGACAAAGAGAAAAGAGAGGTAATCCTCCCTTTTTCTGCTCCCTAGGGTGGTCTCTTCATCCAGGGCCTCAAAGAGGGACAGAATACACCTCCCTGTTACAATGGAGGGTAACCTACAGGGGCTGCTGAGAGAGAGTGAGAGTTAAAGAGAGAGAGGAGGGTGGGTGGCTAGGGGGGTGCAGCTTTAAGCAGGTCTTTGAGTGGCCTAATTGCATTGGAATACATCAGTGTGAGAGAGATGGCTCAGATCAGGGCGGGCTGCTGGAGGGGTGAACGCCCGCACCTCGACATCCACACTCAGCAAAAGAGCCCCGGCACAATGCACACAATTAATGCTCTCCCTCTCGTTAACTCTCTCCACACTCTCCTGTCCCTCTCCTACTTTTCTCTCATTCTCCTCCTTCTCACCTCACATCTTAAACCCCCCCCCCCCCCCCCCCCCCGCGCGCCCCCCCCCCTCCCACCCCCCCCCACGTCGCTCC